TCTCGTGTACTTCGTTCGGTTACGTATTGCTATAAAATTAGTCAATATTTCCCCATGTATAGCACATATTTACTTTTATCTACGCTTAATCCCACTGAGCTTCAAACAAGATTTTATCATTAAGTAGCAAACAATATTACTCCACCCACGAGGACATCCGTGAGTAATCCAATGATGCTTAAAATCAATTTTTACAAAATCAAGAAATCTCACTTTTCTTCTCGCCAACGGAATAATTTATACCGAAACGACATAAAGTACCGAAGAGGTGAGAAAGAGGGTGGACTGGATCGACAGAGACGGAGCGACTAAAGAAGCTTATGGGACTCATAGAGCCAATTAAAGATTGCAACTTTTTCTCCCCCATTTTTGGGGTGCAAGGTGAGCCGAGGCGATGGTATATAGCCTGTAGCCGTGCCTTGCATGATAAGCTAAAAGTTTTCCTATGATAAAGCGGAATTATAGCCGACTTACTGGATCCGAGGTGAAACATATTTTCTTTTGTTATTGCTTTGGGGGACGCAGATACCTTGGGTAATTCTTTATTTGCGTCGAGGGTTTGAGGTATACATGGTTTATGTCTTAAGGGGACGACGACTTTGAAACGATCGCCAGTCAAATACGTGTATTGTTTGGTAGGAAAAGCAGACGATAGGAGTGACAGTTTTTATTGGCTCAATTTTTTTTACTCAAAATGCCACTTACTATTTTTAATATCTATAATATATACATTGAACATTAATAGTTCCTCTAATACAGGGTGTCAAATAAAATAATATCTAACTTCAGTGGGTGATTCTACAGATAAAAAAAAATCCTTTGAACATATGACCTAAAATGTTCCCCAAAGAAATTACAGCCTTTAAAAGGTTAAATCAAAATGATAGATTTTGTTTATTTCTAAGAACATTGGTAAACTGTTTTTCTTGAAATATGATACTCTTACACATATTTTAATGCCAAAGCGAATGGCGATAGTGTAAAATTCCGTAACAGCCCTGAAAGGGTATTTTTCATTAGGGTAGAGAGTACTACTGGTGGTACTTCTTTTATCTTTATAGATACAGCAAATTCAATAAATGAAAATTAAAGCTAGGACTTCTTTATGTAAAAAGGTGCTCTTCGTTTAGTTCGAAACAGTAAACGGGTTTCAAGAATTTTTGTGTTTAAAGGCATTTTTTTAGAATTTAGGATTTAGAATGAGTGGGAGGGGGGTTAATTACTGCGACGTTACAGATCTATTGTGTCCCCCTTTCTTGAGTTATAATTCATCATACAGTCCCAGGGCTTTGACAAAAGCCAGTATGTGGGACGGTTTTATAGAGGGTAGTTCTCCATCTCCAATATCAGTCGTACCAAAGTTCATGGCACGAATGGTTGTCATCTCGACGCACTCAGTGATGAGGTTCCCCATTTTCCCCACGTTTAAAGGCATGGCAAATGCATCGATTTTAGCATTAAAACTCGACTAAAGACCATAAAATATGTTTTTGAATATTCAATCTCCAAAAAAAGACAAAGTAAAATTCTTGAAAGGAGACAATAATTAAGAAAGCTTATCGACGATAATTAATAAAAATATCACGTCTGTAAATAAAAGTACCAATATTTTTTGGTTACTTTTGTTGCCTCATTGTTGCAAATATTGAAAAAGTTTTTTGCATAAGGTAAAGGAAAATATGAGAACTCAAAACAAATAAATATTTAGCACGTTCTAAATGATATTCCTTTTATATTACTGTTACTAACCATGTTCCGCAAAATGTTCCAGCTAAAATTGTAGTATTTTGTAGTTATATTTAACTTAAACAGATTAAAAATTTGAACTTTATGACGGAATGAACTTATATGACCTTAATTATTATATTTTGATTTTATTATAACATACTAATTCAGTTTGATGACTATTCAGTTTGATGAATTTTCTAAATTGTTTAAGAAAAACACTTTATTAAGTTCTTATTTTCAGGGCATTGAGGAAACCTAACAAAAAATTGCTTTTTCTTTTTTAAAGCAGTTAAGATAAAAGCCTATTTTATACGTCTTAAAGGCAACAAAAGGTCCCTAATAGACTCTTGGTAGGCCATTCCAGAAACTGCGTCTTTTTTCCTTTTAGTCCCAAAATACTGGCCGGGGTTTACAATGGAACTAAATGGCAATCTTTTTTTATTAGCTGGAAAATTAATACTCTTTATCTAGAAAAAAAAACGGTGTAAGCATAGATGTATTACCATTAGAGTGAATTGATATTTAAAAAAGCAACTCCAAATCTAAAAATATTTATTAAGTTTAGTTAGGTACTATTAACGCTATCGAAAGATGCGTACAACTTATCTTAGATAGGAACTATCGGAAACAAGAAATATCCATCTTATCCGATAGTCAAGTAGCCTTAAAAGCGATTAAATAAGTAACCATAAATTGTTGGTTAAACAAATTTGGCAAAGGAAATAAAGTCCTCCTACTGTGGGTGCCAGCACACCAAAGGAGAGAAGGTAGTGAAAAAGCAAGAGATCTAGCTAGAAAAAGAGCGAAAATTCCATTGACTGGACCAGAACCTTTCTGCTTCCCAAGTGGAAACCAACTTAAAGTGGAATTCAAGAACCTGGAAAACTTCATCGGTAACCTTGGGAATGGGAATTCACACAAGATTTTTCTTGATTTAAATAAGAACGACCTTCGGATTTTCAAGGGGTTTTTAACAGGACACTGTCTCCTCAACGAACACCTCAGTAGATTAAAGCTAAGAAACACACAAAGAACTGTGGGAAAAATCGGGAAATACCAGAACGCCTTATCACTGAATGCGCCGAGATGACAACCATTCGTGCCATAAACCTTGGCACGACTGATGTCGGAGAAGGAGCTATTAGCTAACTAACCTCTATAAAACCGTCACAAATACTGGCTTTTGTCAAAACCCTGAGACTATATAAGAGTATTGAATTTCTACATCTAGGTATTATTAAGTCTAGTTAAGATACTTTAAAGCTCTGTTTGCTAATAATATTCTAATTATCTTGAACAAAAATAAGCTACCAATTTGCCAGGGCTACCAATTATATTCATTAAGAAATCTGCAATAAAACGTTGTAATAATCATGCAACATTTTAAAATAAAAACAAAATTACTCTTTTTTTATTATCTAAACTTCACGATATCCCTGATTATTCGGACGTCTACACATTTTACGACTAAGCTCTCGAATGTCGGAAACAGTATCCAGACATTATCGTACATGTAATACTTGTCGCAATATATATGATAGTGCATTAACACCGACGAACGGCGAGGGTGATATGGCAAGGGGCTAAAAGCTGGACATGTGACTTGCGAAATTTAATTCGCATGTCTGCAGCTTATAAGCCGAAATAACGTCATAAATATCGTGATGAAAAAAAGAAAAGCCCTTTAAAATATTATACGCTCTCTAATAGGGCGTTATAAAAATTTAAGAGGAACAAAAATGTCGCTTTGCAGAAAGCCGAGGTAAATTATTTCTTAACTTTACAGCAATGGTGGATATTTTTATTGTTATAGGGAAGTATCTAGTTATTAAAGAATCTATAAATGTAATTTGTTAAAAAGCAATATTTCATCAGAAAGAAAACATTCATCACAATACACAAAAACACTTTATTGTTGCAATAAACGTGCGTTTCGCTAACCATGTTAGCATCATCAGCAGATGATTAAAACTTCTGCTGATGATGCTAACATGGTTAGCGTAAAACGCACGCCCATAGCAAAAAAATAAAGTGTTCTGGTGTACTGTAACGAATAGTATTTTATTTTGCTGTTGTATCACCAAATATTCCAACCCTAACTGTAATATTTCATCTCGAAAAGTAACTGATACACAACCATACTTTGAGAATAGGGGTTGTTATTTTTGTGATTTTGATTTGATTTAGTGAAAAATATTTTATTGAACATATTATGATTATCTTAAAATTAAAAGAATTTCGGACCTTCATTGCCATTATTAATTTTAACTTACAAGTCTGACTGAACGTTTTGTGTAAGTTAAACCACATAATAAAGACAATAGATGTACGAAATTATTTTAACTTCAGTACTGAGCCATTGTTTATACATCCAAGAAAATCTTTTTTCTAAGTCAAACCTAGAAAACAAGACAAGCTTTATCATAAAAGGCTCTTCTGTCTGCGACTGACACTTCAAGATTAAGATTGTTATGTATGTGGGTATTTTTTATTAAAAAAACATGTTGGAGCTAATCAGGGGCGGATACAGGAATTTATTTTAGGGGGGGGCCCAAAATGAAAAGCAATGCAGAATATGCTTTTTAGGGCGCTATTTTTAACGTAAAAGCCTAATATTTTACACAATTCACAGACTTGGGGGGCCCAGGCCCCATGGGCCCTCCCTGTATCCGCCATACTGGGGCTAATACTAATATCCTAAGGGGAAGTCATGATTGGTCCTATCTGAATTAAATCTTTGAAAAGGAAATGGATGGGCTATCTTGTTGCTATAAGTCTCTGCTAGTAGATAAACGGTAACATCCTTTTTAATTCATACATACATACGCATTAGCGAAATTAATTTAATAATCATTATTATTTTTCTTAGTTATCATAAGATTTTTTAATAAGAAGTTTATTGATAATTTTAATTCTATTCAATACTGTCATTTCATTTATGCAATTTTGGAGACATCAATCAATTTAGAAGTATTTCTATTTTATTGGATCCTTTATATTATTTTTAAATTGTGGTCAAAATGTGTTTAAGAAAAAATAGAAATACAACTAAATATAAACTAAATTAGAAACTCAAAAATATATATGCATTGATATGAACTCCTTCGCGTTCATAATTTCTTGTATACATGTACTTAAATGTACATTATTTTAAAACTATATTGTAAAACATATCTTTATATACTTAATTTTACTCAGAGAAAATAATGTTTTAGAGTAATATATAGTCCGATATATTTATTTTCATCGTACTAGCTTTGTAAAATGATAATACCGTTCTGATTTTTGACATATGATATGTCATTCTATTCAGAGTATCATTTTCACTCGAATAAAAGTAAAACAATATCGAGGGTGCCATTTAAAAATCGAAAGCTAAGTAATTTCCGGTAAAAGAGAAAAATGACCGAAAACAATAATTGAATACGTCAATGAATCCTAATTTGTGTCATATACTAACATACTAAATCTCGTTTTTTTATCTGAAAAATAAAACAAAAAGTTGTAGGGTGAGCTACTTTTGAGACGCACCCGGTATTTGCTTTAGTGGCAGAAATATCCAGTTTTCTAGATATAAATGTATTTTTTCTTGGGTATAGAGAAAAGGTAACTGAAGCATTAAATGCTACAACTTAACCACAGCAAACGATAAACCCTGATAAAGAATTGTCAGACTAAATAGAACCCTCCTGTCTCCGGCAGAAGCTTCAAGATCAACGTCTTGACCGTAAGCGACAGTATACGGGTATTTTTTATTGGTAGCGTGGTGGGGCTGCTACTAATATCCTAGGGGAAGCCCCGACCGACTGCTATCTGAATGAAGGCTTCGGAAGGGAAATTGATATCAGTTATCTCGGCGTCAAGACTCTGAATTGTATTAAACGGTACAGCGAGGGGAAAGAGCCGATACCGTGGACATTTCACGCTGACAGCAATCTGTCGTAAAAGTTGGAGAAATGGCCAAAGCTTTTATTTCATTAGTTCAATGAACGTTTTCATTCGAGATATGGCGGCCGGGCCAAGTTTATGAGCTATTTGAAAATAGGAATACGTTTTAACGAGCTGTACGTTGCTATTATTTTAAAAATTAAGGGTTTAAAAAAAATAGCTAATTTTTGTTCAGTGATAGTGCAGCTCAACAATTAGCATCCAAAGAATGGCTTTCCAAAGTAAAATCCAAAAAAAATTGAGTTTATTAATGAAAATAATATACAACATTAACAAAAACAAAAATGAACATAAGCGAAGAAAAACTATAGATAACTTAAAATTCACAATAACATAAACCAACTTAACTAAATTTGAAAAAAAAAGCCTTACATTTTTTAATTAAAACTGCTAATGCCTATAAAAATATAACATAAAATGTAACAATATATTGAACTATATACGGAGTGAGTCTTAAATAAGCGCAACTATTTTTATGGGTAGTGTATTTCGACCCCAGAAACATCCTCATGAAACCCCAGAAAAAAACCCTCATAGGTTTTTCGCAAAAAAATTGAAAATATGGAATTTATAATTTTTTTTATTTATAGTGAAAAAACATAATTTCTTGATATGTAGTAGATTAAATTTCCAAGAAAGAAAATCCAGAAAAGATCCAGTGGTTCTCAAAATTTACGCAAAAAATATTTTTTTTCAAATTTTGAAAGTAAAGTAACTCGATTATTTTGGATTTATTTGAAGAACGGTAGAGAAAATATGTTCTTTTATCGAGATCAACCAGTCCTGAAAATATTTGCACTTATTTAAGACTCACCCTGTATATTACACTACATAATCAACTAACATATATTGACTTCAATTGCTAATTTAAAGAAGGCGTCCATTCTTCTCAAAGAGACCTGGTTTAAATTAAAAAGAAGACGAAAAAAACTCAAAGAGTAGTGTGAGCCGTGAGACCCTGAGCAGTGAGACCGAGACTTTTCGTCTTTTTTCGTCTTCTTTTTAATTCAATTGCTAATAAACCAAACAGACCAGAATTGCTAATAAATATTATAGGAACTTCAAAAGAGAGTAAAAGTAAGTAACAATAAGAAATAGCATCAGTATTTATTTAGTATCAAAAGATTTTCGCAAGTAACAAAAACATATTTTTAAGTTATTGTTGAACCGTGAATTAATATGGAGTATCGAGTCCCGGTTTTTTGATGTCACAAAAGAACAGTGTACTATAACAATCCAGAGTCGTTTAACAAAGTTGAAGAGGTACGAATTTGGCCAACGGTATAACAAGCAGTTTAAATGAAATAAAGC